TAAATGTTTGGCTTAGCACAATACGACCTTGACTCTTAGCCTAGCTACTAAGGGTTAAGTTCAGTTTAATGCACACCAAGTATAGTTACATGCACCATACAAACATACACAAGCACGGTCAAGGGCCATAGCCCGTTTATTCAAGATGTACAATTGCTCACTGTACTGCCACAGATGCCATGCCCCCAAAGGGTCTGGGTTAGAGGTCTTTATAGGCCCAATGGTGGCCAACCACTGTTAATGGCCTGGTCATGGGCACCTGGTAGCTTGCCAGGCTGCCCATGTCGCGAGCAGTTACACATGATTATCCACCACCCTCTGGCCACATCCTGAGGTGAGGCCACCTAGCCGGTCAGCACGTTCTAACACCATAATTGTTGCCCATATCTCAGTGGCCCACGCCGTGGCCAATACACCCAGATGCCGCATCTCTTGATTAGTTTAATTTGAATTCAAGCATGGCGCTTGCCTAGCCCAAGCTCCTTGGTCCCTCGGTCAGCCCACAATTGAGTCGTGCTACCATGTGGTGTGCCATCATGGTTCACACTAGACCTGTCCACTGCTATCCGCCAGTAGACCCAAGGCTCATATACCCACTCAATAAGGGGTATAGACAAAAAATTGGAAAGGTGTGAGTTTGGCGTCGTTTGCCCAGAAGTGGCATAATTGCACATTAAGCGCGGATGGGGCACGCTGGCGCACCAAGGTGGTGCATGATGCTCGTTGGCTAATGCGTGTGGCTAACGAGAAGGACGTGTGATGCGTCAGGCTGGTGGGGTGGTGTGTCAAGGGAGGTTTGTTGGTCCTGTCCTTGACTAGCACACATGTGTGCAACTGGGGTCCTAACAGTATCTCATCTTGTAGATGCCTTGTTAACTCATCGATAATTACAGCGAAGAGATATGTGCTGAACGTTAATCCTGATATCGGCCTATTGTTACTGAAAATTCACTTGTCTCTCCACTAGTTGTCTGCACAATAGTTAGTTTTCCCTTTTACCTATCTCCCAACATATCAATATAGCATTTGGAGACTCCTTTCTTTCCAACACCCACCAAATTAAATTCTTAGGGGTACCCTACTATAAGCTTTCTCTAAATCAATAAAGACCATGTGGAGGTCTTTTTCTTTCTCCCTGAACTTCTCTATCAGTTGCCTAAGTAGGAAAATGGCCTCAACTGTTGACCATACTAGCATAAAACTAATTTGATTTTCTGATACATACATTTCATACCTTACACGTTACTTAATAACTCTCTCCTGCAGCTCCATAGTATGGCTCATAATTTGATCCCTCGATAGTTCGCACAATTCTGCATGTCTCCTTTGTTCTTGTAAATAAGCACCTCACTACTTTTCCACCATTCGTCTAGCCTTTTCTTTAGTCTCAGCACCTTGTTGAACAACTTGGTCAGCCAACATATGCCAATATCCCCCATGCATTTCCAAACGTCTATTAGGATACCATTTGGTCCCAAAGCCTTTCCTAATTCCATCCTCCTCGAAGCTTCTTTCACTTCATGCTGTATCTATCCCCTCCGTCCTCATTTATGCCAAAGGTTCCTTCTAGCACTGTGTTCCCATTCTGATCGTCATTTAATAATTTTTGAAAATAAACTCTTCACCTTTGTTCACTTTGTCATCCTTCACCAAGACCCTCTAATTCTCACTCTTAATACATGTAATATGGTCTAGATCCCTAGACTTCCTCTCTCATATTTTTGCTAGTATGAAAACATCTTTTTCACCTTTTCTTGTCCCCAGTTAATTATATAAATTATCATATGCCTTAACTTTACCCTTATTATTTTCGTAGTATTTTTATATTCTTTTTAGTTTTGGTCGTTGCTATTACATCGCCAAGTTTTGTAACATGATCATTTTTCGTTAATGGCCCTTCTGAACCTTGTCACTCCATCACCAAGATCTTATCGAAATTTCTTTTCTTTCTAGTTTCTGCTAAACTTCTTTTGCCAATTTCTTAATTCAGTCGGCCATCTCATATCACATCACATTAACTTCGTGTTCAGAGTTACCAATTTATCACTAAATAAGTTCCTTCTTCCCCCTTAGTCTGGCAGCTGGAGTTCGTGGCTTCCTTATCTTTCCTAGCGTGTAGTAGCTTGGTAACTTTAGCAGGCCAAAGCACATGCTCTGCTTGGCTCTCTTTGCTATTGCATTGCTATGTCTGCTGCGTGTCGAAGCTAGAAGCAAGAACGCAAAGTGCGAAGCAGTTGCCCCTTTTTTCTCCTGTAGTTTATTTTCTTCTATTTTAAATTGACCACCTAGTTCTTGGACACCTACTAATTTCACTCCTTCTCTTCCACCTTCCATCTCTTTATGCATACATCCATAACCTTACAGTCTTCACATTATGGTCGATCTACTTTCTTCACTAGGAAGAAGTTTGTCTAGCTTTTATACGATCCATTTTTATAAGGTATTAAATGTTCATCTCGTTTTTCATCTCGTTTTTTAAAGTAGGTGCTTACTATTGCTAGGTCATAGGCCATAACAAAATCCAGAATAGCCTCACCCATCTCATTTCTTTCCCCAAAACCATATCCGCCATATACCCCCTCATATCCTCTGCTGTCCTTCCCTATGTGACCATTTAAGTCTCGTCCTAGACTCTCCATTTAGTATGTCTTGGACTAGTGCATCGATGTCTTCTCAGAATTCTCTTAATGTTATCCTCTAGCCCTACATGTGGCACATAAGTACTAGTTACATTAATTATCTCCTCCCCTAACATAAGTTTAATTAAAAGCATCCTATCACCTTGCTTGACTATATATATAGGGAAAAGTTTATATAGGGCCGAGGCTCTAAACAATCAAATTTGAGCCTACCTCAAAAATTTCATTAGAAGATGTTGTTTTGATACCCAAATATCTTCAAATTGATCATCTCGACATCAAGATGCATGGACATGAGGAAAAATTGGATTTCAAGTTTTGGAAATAGTGTATTATGTTATGCATTTTGGGACTGTCAATTTTCAAGATTTTCAAGTCCTCATAGATTTGTCGATCTGCACTATTTTTGAAGCTTTAAACTTTATAAATAAATATGAAAACATATTTTAAGGCTATCACAAAGATTTCTAGAAGTGAAATCACGTTTCTCGACACTATTTGAAGGTAGGCTCTAATTTGATTGTTTAGAGCTTAGGCTCTATACAAACCGCACCCATATATACATGAGTAAAACATTTACAAACACTCGAGAGCAAATTTCTACTGTATTTTTCTCATGGCTCATCACCATTCAAGGTCCATCCAACGGTTAAGATTGTATGATAGTGTTTAAATTTTAATAATATTTTTACAAATCAGATTCATTTGAAATTTGGAGCATTTGTATGTCTAACCAACTCCTAAAATAAGTATTTTAGGGGTAATTTGGTTGTTTTTATTATTTGGATTATTTTTTATATTATATTTAGGTGCTCCTCACTAAGGTGCACACAACCCACAAAATTTCATGTTAATTTGATTTGTCAAAAAAGTACTAAAATTCAAACACTATAGGACAATCATGACCTTCTGATGGACTTCGGATGGTGATAAGACGTGTGAAATACTGTAGGAATTCCCTCATGGGTGTTTGTAAGTGTTTTCTTATATATATATATATATATATATATATATATAGAGAGAGAGAGAGAGAGAGAGAGAGAGAGGAGGAGGAGTAGTAGTACGTAGTAGTACTACTATAGTAGTAGTAGTAGTAACGTAACGTAAAGTAAGTACTACGTACGTAGTTAGTAGTAGTACGTA